AGGGGCCAGGGAAGGACGGGGGGCAGAGGGGGAGGGGCCAGGGAAGGACGGGGGGCAGAGGGGGAGGGGCCAGGGAAGGATGGGGATGCGGCTCCTGTGTGGTCAGGGCTAGTCTGGGGCCAGGACTTGGGCCCAGATTGAGGGTGGGAAGGCCCGGGACCCTGTCTCTCTTTATAACTGATACACATATTACATCTACTCATTACAAGTGTGTCTGGACCTCGTGTTTAAAGCCACTCACAGCTAGGCCCCAGTGGGACACGTATCTGGGACATGGGGTGCCTGGGAAGTTGGCCTCCAGGAGCGCCAGGGGCAGCTTGGGGTCCGCGGCTGTGTCTGGGCACCAGTGGCCACAGGAGGCCCCGCACAGGCCTCCCAGCTGCAGGCAGGCGGGCGTAGGGGACGGGCCACCCCACGTCTCCGGCGGCGCCGCCCATCTGCGCCATCTGCCAGCCCCACGCAGCTGTCCTGGGTGCCCAAGCCCAGACCGTGGGCCCCGTCCGCCCCCCCCCCCCGCCTCCCCAGGGCCTCCCTGGATAGTGATGCCCACCACCACTGTCCTGGAGGCCCGTTCCCGCTCAGACAGGGAGGGGGCAGTCTGACCGCCGGGACCCCCTCAGCCTCCGTCCGTAGCCCTGAGGCCACCTGGAGCTGAGGGCCGCTGCTTACCAGGGGGGTGACAGGGGCGCGGAGGATCTGGCTCTTTGGGGGGCTGTTTGCCCAGGACGGCCGGGACGCCATTAGGTGTCGTGCTGGGCGGGGAGGGTCCACCGGTGCCCGGGGCTCCAGCGCCTCTGCCCCCCCCATGCCGCCCGCTGTGGCTGTTTAGTCCTGTTGGTGCTGTTTCCACACCCACATCGCACGCGCCAGCCCCACCCGGACCTGAGAAGCAACCTGCTCACCCGCCCTCCGCTCCCCACACGCTCCTCCCGCCCCAGGGCCTCTGACCCCACCGTCCTGTCTGCACGTGAGGCCGGAGCGGAAGCCCCCGTCACGGCCCATCAGGCCGACTCCACCGGCCAGCAAGCCCGTCTCTGCCAGCCCCCCCCCGCGGCCCCCCCCCGGGCCTGCCCAGACACCCCCCACCCGGTCAGGTCCCTTCCTTCCCGACTCTCGTTCAGCGGGGTGGGTCGCACACTCGCTCACTGGGCTTCATTTCTCTGAAGGAAACTCGTACGAGAATTTCCACAAAGGGCAGGTGTCGTTGAGAAATCATTTATTCACAGGTTTTGGGCCCCTCTTTTCTGACATTACATGACCACTGCAGGGCAGTGTTCCGTGTACACGTAGGTGGCCCAGCACCCCCATCCCCAGCCGGCACAGTCCAGGGGTGACCCCGGCGCCCTGGCGTTCCCCGTGTGTCCCGGGGCAGGCAGGGAGTGGCGAGCCGCCGGCTCTTGCAAGGACACGATGGCACCCAGTGTGGGCGCCGGGCCGTAGTGTCAGGTGCGCCCGGTGAGGCCCCTCCCCAGGGCCAGAGGGCGTCGTGCTCCCGTGGCTGCGATGCCCACGGCGCGTCCTGCTGCCTGGGTCCCCACCCGCCTCTGGCTCCTGCGGTCCCCGGCCCTTTCCTCCCCTGGCCTGTCACCGTCGTGTCCCCATGCACTTGTGCTCCAGGGCCCTGTGGCGTGTGCCGCGCGGGGCTCGCGGGTGGACGAGTGGAGCCCAGGCCCGGCCCCTGCAGGAGGGGGACGGTGCCTGCCGCTGGGCGCCGGAGGAGCGGGGAAGCCACGCGGCTGCCTGGGAGACGACACGGCGTCCCACGCTGCATCCGCCCAGAACCTGCGCAGAGGTCGGGGGAGGGGAGAGGCCGCGGGCACGTCGTGGGGACGAACGGCCGCTCCGGCCCCACCAGCCGCCCGCACGCCCCGCTGCTGCCTTCGGGTTTTAACTGAGCGGGCAGCGAACGAAGCAGGGCCCTGTGTGCTGGCACGCAGCCTCCCAGCCGCCTCCGGGCGGCCAGGGGCCCCGGCCGCCCCCCCCCCCAGCCTTCCTGTGCTTTCCAAAACGCTGACCTCTCGCTCCAGAGCTGCTAACAACAGCGAGCACTTTCCACGTGATTCCAGAGGGTCTCAGGGGCTTTGGGTCTTCGAGATGCGACAGCCTGGGGCCCTGGACAAAACTCTGCTTTCTGCGCCTCCGTTTCCCTACGTACAAAACGGGCAAACTAGGCCCCCAGGAGCTGTGCGGGCCCAAAGGGCAGCAGGGTGACCCTGCGGGTGACATAGAGTGAGTGCAAGCCGGGCGGTGGGGCGCAGGTGAGGGCAGCCACAGCCCCTAACTCAGCAGCGTGACCTCTGCACTCAGCCCTCAGCCCTCACGGGGCTCGTCGTGACCGTAAGTAAAGCAAGTCAGCGAAGGGCCCGGGAGGCGTGAGAAGGAGGCGCGGGGGGGCGGGGGGGACTGGCCGGAGGCGCTGGCGGCCCAGTGTCCTCCCCACACCTGCGCCACGACAGCTCTGCTGCGACTGCGTTCCGTGCCCTCTGTGGAGCGATCTTTGTGTTTTCCCAGGATTTTAGAACTCGTTATGTGTTTTCCTAGCTTTACTGGGGAGTGACTTACATACCATAAAACACATTCATTGTAAGTGAACAACGTAACGCGTGTTCATAGATTCGGGAGCCGCGCCACCGCTGCCACCTGACCGTGAGCGTCCCCGTCACACAGAAGCGAAGCCGCGCGCCGTGTGCCTGAGCTCCCGCCTGGCGGCTGCAGACCTGCTGGCCGTCTCTGTGGGGCCGCCTTCCCGCGGAGCCACGCACAGTGTGCCCTTCGGGCTGGCTTCTCCTGGGCGGCAGGGTGTCTGACGTGTGCCCGCATGCCAGCGCCCGTTCCTCGTGGTCCCGACGGCGTCCCCGCGGCTCTGTGGAGCCCGCACTGGATGGACGGACCCACGTTTCCCGAGCTATTTCCAGATGTCATCAGCAGGCCCACCTTGGGCCACGGGATGAGAGCCAGCATCCGGCACAAGAGGCCCCGGGGCTGCAAGGTCCAGGGTGGAGGGGAGCCGCCTCCTCTCCCCGCCCCCCACCACCCTCACTGATGCGAGCAGTTCAGGAGATAGTTAAGTGTGTAGAAGTGGGTTTATTGAGGGGCACCTGGGTGGCTCAGTCGGTTAAGCGTCCGACTTCGGCTCAGGTCATGATCTCACGGTTCGTGGGTTCGAGCCCCACGTCGGGCTCTGTGCTGACAGCTCGGAGCCTGGAGCTGCTTCGGATTCTGTGTCTCCCTGTCTCTCTGACTCTCCCCTGATCACGCTGTCTCTGTCTCTCTCTCAGAAATAAATAAAACATAAAAAAAAAAAGTGGGTTTGTTGTGGGGCCTTGCCACGTGTTTTCCCAAGGAGGCTGAGTGGAGAACCGTGGGAAGGGGCTGTGGGCGGAGCAGCCTTTCCAGGAAATGACCTCACGACCTCACGCACCTCCATGCGTTGCGGCTCCTCCAGTGGCCCCCGGACTTCCGACCGCTCATTTGCCAATGTCCCATAAAGCATGGCCAGCCCCACACAACGGGAGGGAGGGCACCACCACGCCCATTGTACAGAGGAGAAAACTGAGGCCCGGTGCACCATGGCTTTGGATGCCGACTGCGCAGGATGCTAACGCTGGCTCTTGGCCACCTTCTCTTGCCACCACCTCCGGGTCCCCCACCTGCCCCTCCGTGGGCCATGCGCACACCTGTGCACCTGTGTGCTTCGCGGGGTCCGGTCTGCGCCACCCCCACGCTCCTGGAAAGGAGCAGCTCCATCATCCCTCATTGTGACCAGGAGGCAGGGGTCACGGGCCCCTAGAAGGCAGCAGATTTCCCGAAATCCACCATCTGTCCTCAGAGGCTATTTGCCTTCTTAAAAATTGTTAAATTGCAGGCGTCTGACTACAGCTCAGGTCATGGTGTCACAGTTCGTGAGTTCAGGCCCGGAGCCTGGAGCTGCTTCGGATGCCGCGTCTCCCTCTCTCTCTGCCCCTCCCCCACTCCTGCTCTGTCTCTCAAAAATAAATAAACATTTAAAAAATTTTTAATTAAAATTGTTAAATTGCCGGCTGAGAGGATATACATGCGTCCAATGATGAATAGCTGTGCATCCGCTCTGGACAGAGACCCGGCAGCCGCCTCTCAGACTCGCGCGGAGCCAGCAGCGCCCCCAGGCCCGGGGTGGACGGGCAGAGGGCACCCAGGCCTCCGGCACCTCCAGGGCCAAGGCAGACGGGGCCGCCCAGTGACAGGAGCGCGTCCCGCCGGCCGGGCCCGCAGAGCGGACGCACCTCTGGGCTGGGCCCAGTGCCCTGTGATCCCCTCCAGGCCGGAGCCCCCGCTCTTCCCGCGGGGTCAGGGTTCACAGGCAGCGGCTGCCCCCGCCCTCGCCTGTAACAGGCAGTGCTCACCGCGGGCGGCCGGCTGTTAGCAGAACTAACAGCGTCTGCTGCTAAAGGGGATGAGTGTCCCCACGAGGGACCCCTGTAGGGAGCAGTGATCCAGTCCCCTCCTGTGGGGGGCCACAGGGGACCCGGGTGTGCGCCCCGATCCCCGAGGTGCCTTTCTGGGGTCTGCACGCTCTGCGCTCTCTCCCTCCAGCTCCCCGGAACCCGCAGAGCGACCCCCCTCCGGGTTTCTTGTTGTCCTGAGCTTTTATGAGACCGTCTCTCCTGGTGCCTGGAAAGGAGGGGGCCCGCGGCCGAGAGGTGGTCCCTGGAGGAGGGGAGGCAGCTGGAGGGGTGGGGGGGGGAGGGCAGGCCGCCTGCCACTGTTTATTTGCATTCCAATCTACCCACACATGTGCCAGCTATTTATGAGCCTGGACCTTGCCACGGCCCAGCCACGGGCTGGGTTTCTGGCCCCGATGGGCGCCCACTTACTTCGCAGCCAGGAGCTTATCAAGGCGCCCGCCCACCGGAAACCTGCGTCTGGGTGAGTTGGGCCGTCATGTTGCCCACCTGTAGCCGGGCGGCCGGGGAGGGCCCAACAGGTGGTGGGGCACCTGGGCAGCACACAGGCGGGGGTGCAGCCCAGCCCTGCCCAGCCGTGCCCCTGACCGGTTCTCCGCAGGCGGCCGGGGAGGGCCCGGTCCTGAGCGCCTGCGTGCGGCCACCAGAGCCCCTGAGACGGCGGGATGACCACAGAGCCCAGGGATGTCCTGGTGCTGCTGCCCACGCGGGAGCAGCTGCGGCTGGTTGTGGGGGTGAGTGCGGGGGGCGTAGGGGAGAGGGGGTGACTGTGGGGGCGAGTGCAGGGAGAGCAGGGGGTGGGGTGGCCGCAGGGGTGAGCTGGGAGAGAGGGGAGCAGGGGTGAGGTGACCACAGGGGTGAGCATGGCGGGGGGCGAGCAGGGGTGGGGTGACTGTGGGGGTGAGCATGGGGGCAAGCAGGAGTGACTACAGGGGTGAGCACGGCAGAGGGGTGAGAAGGGGTGGGGTGACCACGGGGTTGGCAGAGACACTGCCACAGGGTCCCTTCTCCCAACAAAGTGCTGCTGGTAACGAGTAAGCAGTGGCATTTGTGGCACGTTCACCCAAACACAGAGCTTGGCGGGTTCGGAACGAGCCCACAGTTGCCGTGTCCCCTCGGCCCTTCTCTGATTTTCCATCCAGCACTTTCGGCTCCTCGAGTGGCCCCAGTTTCCATAGAAACCTGCGACACCCTGACTGGCCTGAGCCTGGGGCGGCGCCGCTCCTGTGCCCTTTCTCCCCTGCAGTCCACCCCCCAGGGACACCCACCGCGGAGGGCCGCGTGGCCCGTGGCCACCTGCCCCAGGGGAGTCTCGGGAGGCACTGGGGGGCTGCTGCCTTCCCTCTGAGCGCCAGCCCCCGGGCCCCGCCTCACCTCACCCACCCCACTGCTCAGGCCCCTCCCACGAGAGATGCTGGCTACACAACCAGTCCGTTCAGGGTTTGTTCTGAACGCCCACCTCACAGCCATAGCACCTGTAGGCGGTGCGCCCGCCGAGGTCCAGGCCCGACCCCGACCCGCTGCTGCCCCTGCGAGCCCAAGGCCCCCCAGCCCGCGGAGCCTCTGTCTCAGACACAGACGAAGATGCGTGGGGGCAGTTCTGCGGGAGCTGCCGTCTGAGCGAAGGCCAAGTTCAGAAGCACGTGTTACAGAGCCGGTGGCTCTTCCGCGAGCCCCGAGCGGCGATCCAGTTGTTTAAGAAGCAGACGGGTAACCAGCAGACAAACTCCCGTCCTCGCCAGACTCCAGCAGTGCGTCTCCGGAGGGCCCGCGCACCCCCGTGCAGCCCCCACACCCCTGTGCAGCCCCCACCTCCTCCCCGGGCTGGCCCTCCCCGTGCCACCCGCCACCCCACGGACAGGGTGGTCTCCAAGTGGTCATTTCCACGGCGTCCCGGGGTCATGGGAGTGTCAGCCACCGTCTGGCCTCCCTGCAGATTCAGTCCTGCCCTGGCCTGCCCCCCTGGCCTGCCCCCTGGCCCGGGCCCGGCCCTCAGCAGGAGAATCAGGAGATCAGGGTCTGGATTCCACAGGGCTTCTCACCAAGAAGAGGCAGGGGGGCAAGGGGCGCCGGTCCCCTTCACCGCGCATCGGCTGTTGGGGTGCCTGGGGACAGTCGTGGAGCAAACGTGAGTGGGGTGAGGACCCACAGGGCAGACGGGGGCAGGCCCGTCGTGGTGCCGCGCTGGTGCCTTGGAGCGTCCTGGCCCCGGTGCGCTGCTCTCTCGTCCTTTCTAGTGTTTGTCAGTCGTGTGAGAGAAAAGTGAAGCGATAAGTTCCTCTAGTTGAGGCAGGCTCTGGGGTCCGCATGACCAGCGCCCTCTGGCCTCAGCTGCTGTCGCCCTTCCCCGTTCTGCACTCGACCCTCCCATGCAGAGCACCCACAGGGGGCTTACACACACCATCCCCCCCCCACCCCCCCCACGCTCTCCCGCTCGTTCTCATCAGTCTGGTTTTACAAATGGGGAAACTGAGGCCCGGACTTCCATGAGTGCCGAGTTGGTGCGTGCCCTCACAGTGAGGAGAAGAGCCGGCTTGTATGGTGCCCAGAAGAGCCACCCGCTCACATGGCCCCTGAGGGAGGGTCCCTGGGAGACACGGCCAGCATGGCTTCCCTGGGAACACCGCGGGACGTCTGGGGTCTCTCCTCCCAGGCCAGAGTGGGGGGGATGCTCTTCCAGGCGGGCCAGCCAGCTGCGGGTGGCGTAGTGTACGTCCCCGGGGATTATCTGCTCAGGGACACACTTCTGTATTTAAGTCAATGCCAACATGGCGTTAACAACAGAATCTCTCCAAGCCTCAGTTTACCCAGCTGGTGCCGAGGAGCTGCAGCTGATCAGAGGGTCTTCCAGGGGTTCTTGCCTCCTTCGAGACGCGTCAGGCCCCGGGGTGGGCAGTAAGGGGACTTGCGTGGGGAGAGGCGGGCCGGCGGGCCTGGGGTGCAGCCCCGACGTGCGTGAACCTGGGCGGCGGCTTTCTCCTGTCTCCTCAGTGAGCTGAGGAGGGTTTTAGGGTTTTAGCTGGAGGACTGAGCAAGCAGGTGTGAAACCTGCTGGGGGGGGGGGTCTCAAGTCTCAGCGGTGACGGGGTCACCGAGGCAGTGCACGGGCCTCAGTCTCCCCCAGCCTGCACTGGCACCCACACCCCGCCAGCTAACTTTCCACGTGTGCACCCCGCGTGGACCGCCAGGGTGGCCCTGCATGTCACTACCACGTGTCTGCACATCCAGGTATTAGTTATGGCTGGAAACGGCATTACCGCCGCGGCACAGCCGGGTCTGTATCTGCTGCCAGATTAGGTGGCTGATCCCTAAACCAGTGTTCCAACAACTCACCACTAAGAAGCAGAGACTCGTCATCTGACTTGAGAAGGTGTAGGGACGCTTCCCGAGGTCACAGAGCCCGCGGGAGCCCGGCTGCACCACCTTCCCGGCCGGATGCTGGCCAGAGCCCGCGGCTCCACGCGCCCCGCACGGGCCTGCCCCTCCAGCCCGCACCGTTGGCTCGGGGACGCGTCCTCTACCCCCGCGGGCCGTGAGCCTGGGCTGCCTGCCTCGAACTGGGATTTCCGCTCAGAGGACCCAGAGACGCGGCGTGGCCATGAGGCCACCCTCCAGCCCCGGGAATGAGGAGGACGGAGGAGCGGCCGGGTGCTGAGACGCGAGGGGGTCCAGGCCGCGGGCGGCCCCGTGGGACGGAGGACGCAGGAGCCGCCGGGGCAGCGCCGTGGGGAGATGGCAGACCTGTCAGCTGGGCGCGGCACCGGCCCTTTCCTGAGTCCGGGGTCTGAGCAACAAAGTGGAAAGAAGCTGGAAACGGGAAATTGCTGGGTATCTGATGTTAAGGTGGCCCATTTCTAGGTGAAACGGAGCACCATCTGGATAGTGTAGACTGGACAGTAGGTGCTACGGGAGAGAGCGAGCCCTCGCCTGTGTAAACATGAACGATCCCTGCTGGCAGTAATGCGGGAATCGAGGCAGCTGCCCACCCCGAGATGGGCGCTGGGGGCTTCGCGGTGCGGGGTGAGGGCCCGTGCTCCCGGAGGCAGGGTGGGGACTCCGCCTCTGGGCCCTGAGGTTCAAGCTCAGACCTCACAGCCAGACCTGCTGAGACCACCGGGCTCTCTGGGCAGGGCCAGGGACCCTAGAAACACCCCGAGCCTCTCTGGGTCCCAAGCAGCCAGTCCCCACGCACAACATACATGTCCATTTCTGGGGTGTCCCCACCCCAGCCTGCTTCCTGGAGTGGCCTGGGTCAGGTTGGTGCACAGTGAGGAGGAAGGCCAGCGAGATGGCCTGGGGTGCGTGGAGAATCCCACACCCCGTCCTTGGACAGCCCCCTGCACTGGCCAGGACCCAGAGAGCAGGCTTCGTCCTGAGGTCAAGGCACACTCTGCCCCCCCAAGGCCCTTCCCCCCCACCCCACCAGCCCCCCTCCTCTCCCAGCCTGCCCTGCTGGGCGGGGGACAGGGGCACCTAGCCTTCAGCTCGGGCAGTCACAAGGACCCGGGTGGGAAGCGGGTGGTCCTCAAGCTCCCACTGGACTGCCCACCCCTTTTAGGGGCGCTGAGCCTCCCCCCGCGTCTTGCAGGTGCGGGCCACCTGTCGTGAGCTCTTCCAGCAGGTGTGTGACGTGACCAGCATCAAAGAAGCCCACTTCTTTGGCCTCAGCGTGGTCAGAAGTAAGTCAGCGGTGCCCCGACCCCATGCAGGGGACCCACCGCCTGGGGCACCAGCCTCTTCTGGGAAGGCTGGGGGTCTCAGGGACAAGAGGGACCTGCCCGTGCCACTCAGTGCTCTCATGTACACCCACGGCGTCTGGGCAATTCCACGTGGCTTCTGAGCACACTCACAATTATACAAGGCATACACACATATACAAACACATTCATACACACTTAAATACACATACGTACATGCTTGCAAACTCAGTGCAGACTCACACGCATATACTCACACATGTGCACACTCTATGTACACGTGTACCCACGCACATACAGTCACACATGTACACATACTGTACACACACAGATACCTATACTCACCTGTGCACACTCCTCGCGCACATGTACACAGGCATACATGTGCACACACTGCACATCCATGTATACACATGCACACACGCACAATTCTGCATACATATGCACACACATGCACACACTCCACGCACCTGTGTACACACACTGACACACTCCACATACACGTATACACATGCATACATGTGCATAATTCCACATACATATACCTCACATACTCACCTGCACACACTCTACATATACCTGCACACATGTACACATACACATGTGCACACACTCCACATATATGTATACACATGCACAACCCTACACACATATGCACATACTCCACGCACACACTTCATGCACACATGTACATACTCACGTATATACATACATGTATACACATACATGCGTGCACACCTCTACACATGTGCGCACACATAATACTCACACATGTACACGTGCGCACACGTGCACACACGCACCTGGCCTTCGCTGGGAGGGAGGGGGAGCAGACTCCTGGCCTGCCCCCGCTCTTCCTGCAGAGAACCACGTAGGGAGCCCCAGGCTACGTCCTCCTCGGGTTCTGCTGTCCAGGAGCTGACTGTGTCCAGGGTGCTGGAAATGCTTGTCCAGGAGCAGAGCCCTGGGTCCAGAAGAAGCCCTTCCTGGGACTCTGATGGGTGAAAACCCAAGAGTGGGGTGTGTTGGCAGAAGGAGGTGGGAGCCACCAGCCTTGTCTTCTGCCCCGGGGTCCCCTCTGTGACCCCCCAGCCCCAGGTTTCTGCCGACCCCAGGCTCTGTGGAGGGTCCAGGGGAAAGCAGGAGAGCGGAAGGGGCTGCACGTGCGTGGGAGGCAGCGCCGCCCCCCCGGGCTCTGAAGGGCACGTGGCCCGGGGGTGCCGGACCACCTGTGTGCCGCAGGAAGTGGATGGTGCCACCTGCAGGCAGCTCTCAAGGGGCTGGGGGCTCTCACACTGGGGGCTTCAGGGTCATCGGCACAGAGCCCCCTTCCCCAAGATGTGGAGATGAACGGGGAGAGAAAGTGTCCATTCCGTCACGGCCACCCTCTGCCTGGGTCCTCAGGGCCTCTGTCCCCAGCCGCAGGCGCGTCCCTGCTCAGTGTGCAGCCAGGGAGAGGGAGAGAGGGGACGCCCCATGGGAACACAGGACCCTGAGGACCCCCGCCCCTCCCACCGCCTGTGTGGTGGACACGATCCTGCCACGGCCCCTGCGAGACGCCCAGGGTCTGATTCCCACGTCGGCCTCCCCCAGCTCCAGGCTGGCAGAGAAGTGCTGCGGTTGGGGCCGCCTGACCCTTCAGGGCCCCGTATAGGAGCCTGGGGGGTCTGGCTGTGGGCCGTGTGTACACGGGTATTCAGGGAACACCCAGGCCGGGGAGGGGGGTTAGGGCCCCTGGACAGCCCCCGCCATGCTGTTTGTCAGGAAGCGCCTTCCGGTTCCGGGGGCCGCACAGCATGACGGGGCTGCAGGCAGGCAGACGAGCTGCCCCGGGTTAGGGTCATAGCTCACAGCCGCAGACTTCGGCTCTGCTGTTAAATTTTCCTATTTGCAAAGAAAGCTAAATTAATGGGTAGCTTCGCCCCCATTTGAAGTTTAGGCGCACAGCCAGCATCCTAAGCACCTGACGGGCGCTGCTCTGTGGCTGGGTCTGCACAGGCAACACGTCGAGAGAAATAAGCATTTCCACGGAAGCTTGGTTTACTCGGGGCGGGGGGGTGTGCCAGGGCTGGGTTCTTATGCTTCCTAAATGTTGTCTTGTTCTGGAATCACTCCCGGTTCATGGCACTGAGCCCCTCTTGGCTGCAGAAAGCCCCAGACTCCCTGTTGGGGGGGTCCCCATGGAAGCCGAGCTGTGGGGGGCTGTGGGGGGAGGGCTGGGGACCCTGGCCTTAGACTCAGGCCTCCTCTTCCAGGCCCCACACGCCTGATGGTGGAGCTTGCCTTGCGGAGAGGGGCTCAGGGACGCCTGATGGACCCATGGGCCCTGGGTGTAATGGCGCCCTCCTGTCCCCGAGCTGTATCACTTAGAGCCTATGTCCCTTCCGGGGGGCTGCTGTTCTGGGCCTTCCCGCTCCCATCTGCCACCGCCTGACCCCCACGACCTCACTGGGGTTCTGGGTGTGGGCCGTGTGTGCACAGGCATGCAGGGAATGTTCTGGACTCAGGTGGAGTGGGTGGGCTTCAGACGCAGGAATGAAGAGTGACCTGAAGGCCCCTGGGGAACAGACCCTTGTAGGGCGCAGCCTCTTGGCCAGGCTGTGCAGGATCCAGGGCTTGTGCTCCCGGATAGGGAGGCTGTGAGGTTCCGGGGACGGCGGGTGTTGGCCGGGGACCTGGTTTCCGGCCTTGGTTCTGTGGCTGGTGTCCGCCTTGGGTGGTTTCGAGCGTGAGAGGGACGGTAGAGGACCAAGCGTTCTCTCTGCTCTTGGCAGCGTCTGGTATTGGAGGGTTTAGAGTATTTCCAACGAGGAACCGGGGGTGTTAGGGGCGCCCTGGAGACCCTGAGGGGAGGGTCACACAAACGGTAGGAGGGCGTGAGCGGGTGTGGGAATGGCCGGCTGGGGGTGGGGAGGGGACCCTGCTCCCTCTGGTTTCCCAGCGCTCCAGGCTGTCCGCATCGAGACCGCCGTGCTCTCATTAGCGGGGACAGCCCCGGAGCGCCCCCTCTCCTGTGCCTCCTGATGGCCTGAGGCAGCCGTAGGCTTCCCCCTGCTTGTGGGGGACAAGCGGACAGTCCCTTGAGGGACCCTGTGGCCCTGACACGGCCCGCCCTCTCCTCTTAGACAACGAGTACATGTTCATGGATTTGGAGCAGAAGGTCAGCAAGTACTTCCCGAAGGACTGGAAGCGGCAAGTGCAGAAAGTAAGTGGCCGTCCCCGGGCCCGAGGGCGGCCGTCCACACGACTGGCTCAGGGACACACCGGCCCGTCCACGGGGCCGCCTGTCCAAGGAGCCCTAGAGCTGCCGCTGGCGGGGGTGGGGGTGGGGGGTGGGGTGCCCTCAAGCGCCGCAGGCAGCTCGCCCGGGGGACTCCTCCTCAGAGGCAACAGCATCGGGGATATCGGCAAAGTGCGCCAGCTGACGCCACCTGAGTGTTAGCGGGAGCTGGTGTGACATCCCGTCGGGCGCTGGCCTGCTCCTGGGCGCTTTCCATTCGGCCCGTGTCTTCCCGCTGGGCTTCCCCCCTGCAGGGTGCTGGGAGGCCCCACGCGCCCTTCGTGACCTTCCTCAGGGTGCAGTACTACGTGGAGGATGGCAGGGTCATAAGGTAACTAACTCCACGATGTCAAAGGAATTCTCTGGACCCTTGGAAGCCCGCCGGGTGAACCTAGGCACGTGGGGAGCGTGCAGTCAGTGCTGCTGGGGCACCGTAGTCCCTGTCTGCGGGAGGGCAGGAGTAGGGGTCTGTGGGCGTGCGGAGGGTTCTGGAGAGTGGGGGTCAGTGGGCGTGTGGAGGGTTCTAGAGAGTGGGGGTGGGTGTGTGGAGGGCTCTGGAGAGTGGGGCGGGTGGTCCTGTGGAAGGTTCTGGAGAGTGGGGGCAGGTGGTTGTGTGGAGGGTTCTGGAGAATGAGGGCTGGGTGACTGTGTGGAAGGTTCTAGAAGGGCTGGGGGAGCAGGAGGCTGCAGGCTGTGGCACGACCATCTGGCAGGGCCGGATCTGGCCTCTCAGCAAGACCGCCCGTGCCCTCCAGGGACGAGAGGGCCAGGCAGCTGTACTACTGCCACCTGAAGGAGCGCGTGCTGAGGTCCGAGTGCACCCACCGCGAGGAGGCCTACTTCCTGCTGGCCGCCTACGGGCTGCAGGCCGACCTGGGCGACCACCGGGAGCCGGTGCACGTGGGGCGCTACTTTGAGCCTCACGCCTACTTTCCGCACTGGGTAAGGCTGCGGAGCCCCTTCTCTGTCCGCCCCCCCCACCCCGCCCGGTGCAGAGTCCCCGGAGAGCAGAGGGCAGGCTGAGGGCGGCAGGGGGAAGAGAGCGGGAAGGGCCTCACAGAACTGTGGCCTCCCGCCCAGGTCATTGCCAAGAGGGGCAGCGCCTACATCCTCAGGCACGCGCCCGCCCTGCACCGGGCGCAGCGGGGCCTCGCCCCCGAGGAGGCTGTGCTGCGCTTCATCAGGGAGGCCTGCCGGCTCGAGGACGTGCCCGTCCACTTCTTCCGGCTCTACAAGGTCACGCCCCTGGGGCACTGGGAGGTCAGGCCGCCTCAGAGGCGCCTCTGCCCAAGGGGCCCGGAAGAGCGGAGCCCGTGGGCAGCCAGGACGCTGGCCCCGGCTCAGGGCGCACAGCGTCCCCACGGCTGCCCAGAACCGGGCCCGTGAGTGCGGCTTAAGGAGCTCAAGTGTCGGGACATTCAGTCTGAGCAGGGAGGCGGGTGACGGGCCTCCAGCATCAGAAGGGAAATGGGTCCCTGCTCGTGCGGGCGGGGCCCCCAGCCAGGCCCAGGCTCTCGGCCTCTCTGAAGTCGTGTCCTTGCAGGGTAAGAAGGACCACAGGCCTTCCGTCCTGCTGGGACTGACCCTCAAGGGAGTGCAAGTCTATCAGGTGCCGGGAAGAGCCCCTGGGGCGCCCGCCTGCCCCCCCCCGCCTCCCCTCCCCCTCCCCCTCCCCTGCTCCCTGCCCTCCCCCTCCCTCCCCTCTCTTATACCCCCCACTTCCTCACCCCTCCCCCTCCACTGCCCTCCCCCCCTCCTCTCCTCCCTGTCCCTGCTCCTCCCCCCTCTCCTCTCCCCTCCCTCCCCCCTCCTCTCTCCTCCTCCATTGCCCTCCCCCGCCCTTCCCCCGAGCCCCTCTGGCGGGCCCTCCCCAGCCTCTCTCTGGGGTTTTGCAGGAGGCGAACCACACCCCCAAGCTGCTCTACGACTTCCCCTGGCCCCACATTGGCAAGCTGGTGTTTCTGGTGCGTGTCCGATGGGGGGGTCAAGGTGGGAGGGGTTCACCCTCCGCGGGGGAGCGGGCGTAGCCTGAGACCCCGCACGCGGGGGCGTCCGGGCCTGGCCCTTTGCTGCGGGGCTAGATGGCCCTGCCTTTGGGCAGTGCTTTGCTGCTGGGGGCCTGCCGTTCTGCTGTGGAGAAAACAGCGAAATGAGGGGTGGGTCACGGAAACGCGCCGCCGTAGCCTGCAGATGGCCCTGTCCCTTAGTCCTGGCCTCACAGGGCCTCCCTGGGCCCCGCCTGGCACTCGGGCTGAAGCGCAGGACGGGGAGGGCCCTGGACACGGCCTCCGCATGGCGCTTTCCTCTGGATGCAGCCGAGGCCTGGCGTCCCACAGCCGTCGGGGGCTGAGGGGTGTCTGGCCGTCCACGGTGTCCAGGGGCCACCCGAGCGCTGTGCGTCCCTGGCCACCTCCCGCACGTGAGCTTGGGATCTGCACAAGAGGAACAAGGGTGGCCTCCTGGTTTGGGGTTACGGCCCGTGTTTAAATCACTCGTCGTCACGCGGTTTTCTCGTACGATTACATCTTGCCTCTTCCTTGTTCAGGGGAAAAGGTTTGAGATCCAGCCGGACGGGCTGCCGTCGGCGCGGAAGCTGGTGTATTACACGGGCTGCGCCTTGCGCTCCGGCCACCTGCTGCGGCTACTCAGCGCCAGCCACCAGCTGCGCCTCAGCCTGCGGCCCACCCTGCAGAGGCTGCAGCAGCTGGAGGGCGCGGAAGGTGCGCCTTGGCCGCGGCCTGGGCTGGGGAGGGCCCCCCGCTGACACTGCCCCCTCTGGCCACGGCCTGGGCTGGGGAGGGCCCCCCGCTGACACTGCCCCCTCTGGCCACGGCCTGGGCTGGGGAGCGCCCCCCACTGACACTGGGCACCATTTTTCCCACCGTGGGGCGTGGCCTCTTGGCTCCTGTGTCCTCTGCAAGGGGGAGGGGCCCGTTCTGACAACGGGGCCTGGGGACAGTCTGAAGTCCGGGAAGGAATTCTCCACGTGTGGGCAGGATCCTGGGACACCGTCGGCACCCTGGGGCTCCAGACACGGAAGGCAGCACCTGTGTCCCCTCTGAGCCCGCCCCTCCCAGCTGTGCCTCCTGTCCCCACACAGAGAAGCAGCGCTATCGGGAGTCCTATGTCAGCGACACGTGGGCCTGGGACCCGGACCTGGACCCGGGCTCCCCCCCAGCGGGGGCGGGGGCCAGCGGCAGCCCCTGCGCGTGTGGCATCGAGGTGGACGCCGGGCCCGCAGAGCACCGGGAGGTGTCGGTGGACGAGCCCTGGGGCGCCGAGGCCGAGCGAAGCCCCAGCAGCACAGATGGCGGCGGCACAGGCGGGCGTGAGGGGGACACCCAGGACCCGGGGGATGGGGAGTGTGTGGGACCAGAGTGACAAACGCTGATGCCCGGGGGGGGGGGGCCGGGGGGCGGGAGGCAGGGCCGTGACTCCCATGGGACCCTCAGTGCCCCAGGATGGCCTGACCTCCAGCACCATGAGGTGGCCTTAGGGCCTGGGGTCAGAGCCCGCAGATTGGGGTCCTCCCCACGGGTGTGGTGTGGGGGTTCCTCCGGCCTTCTCTGCTGCTGGTCACAAAGGACCCCCAGGACCCTCAGGGGAGCCCGACCTGACCGGTGCCCCTCGTCCATCGTCCGGGGAGTTTCAGTCACATTCTTCTCTAGCTGCTCAAGACGGGAGGCTTCTGGGAGAGCTAGGACTCGGTGTCTGCTGGATTCGCCCCCCGGGGGGGTGTGGCGTCGGGGGGTGAGGGGCCCTGTGGCGCCTGCCGTGTCTCCCGGGAAGGTTCCATCAGCTCTACTGTCCCCTGACCATCAGCAGCGCCCTTGGCAGTGGACGTGATGGGCAATTGTGGGGCCAGCCGTAGGTCCCACCCATGCCCACCCAGGGGCCCCAGAGTCCACCTGCAACGGCCCAGGGGCCCTAGAGTCCACCTGCCACCACCCAGGGCCCCTGGAGCCCCCCCGCCACCACCCAGGGGCCCCTGGGGTCCACTCAAACAACCTCTTCACCTCGCTGTACGTCAAGGCCCCTGGACGATGGGGAGGGCGGTGCGAGGAGGAGCACAGGGGCTCCGGGTCTGAAGTCAGGGTTAGGCCCCCAGGGGAGGAGTCAGTTAGGGTCGAGGTGCTGCTCCTCCCTGGCCCTGCTCACGCCTCCTGCCCCGCCCACAGGGCCACGCGGGGAGCTCTCGGCTGCGGTGGCTGCGCGGGTCGCGCTGGTCAGGATGGGGGGCGGCGGTGCGGAGCCCCGGTACCAGGTATGTTCCCGGGGGGCCAGGCGGCTCCAGGCCAGGCTCCTGCGCCTGTTTTCGTGGCCCACCCTGGCCCACCGCAGGCCCCTGGGTAGAGAGCCAGGGGGGAAGGCTTCGGGGGAAATGAGGCGGGGTGGGGGCTGGTCCCGGGGGACCCCGCCTTCCTGGCTGGGTGCTCACTGGATGGTCGAGTCCCCCCGCCTTGGGTGGTGAGGGCTTAAGGGGCTGTTCCAGGTGCCCCAGGGGCAGGAGGAGGGGCAGCGGCCAGTGGTTCCCGGGTAGGCTGGCGGCTCCCCTCCTTGCTCGGAGCTGACCTGGGGGTGGCGCCCTGGACAGAGAGAACGTTAGGGCGTGACGTGACTCCCAGAGAGGGATGGAGCTACACCCAGTGATGGGGGGAAGCCACGGGGCCCTGGGCAGGTGACTGTCTGGGCCCAGAGATGGTGGACAGGACGGGACCATAGAAGGGCGATGGGGGGCCTGGTTGCAGGGGCCCCGCGCGACCCTCCGCGGCTGCTGGCACTCTCCCTGCAGGACGCAGCGGGGCGGCTGCTTCGGAGCCCGGGCACTGTGCAGGCTTCCTCACCCGTGATGGGGGAGGGTGCTCTGACGTCTGAGGATGCTTCCGGATCCTCCTAACCTATCACCTAGTCACCCAGGTCCAGTGGGGTCGAAGGAAGAAAAGAGCCCAGGGCTGTGTGCCGCCCCAGCTGCCCCGCGGCCCCGAGTCCCCTCGGGTCGGGTGTGGGCTCTGCGTCAGGTAGGAGTTGCCTCAGGACAGGAGAGGGAGGGCCACGCAGGAGCCACTCGCGCCCGGAGCTGCCCTGCCGAGGACAGAGGCCGCTGCCAGTGCCCCACTCCTGCCCCCGGGGCTCGCGCCCACGGTGGGCACAGGGCGCTGGGGGTCCCCCCTCCAAGCTGTGCTGACAGTGGGCCAGCGGGGTGCAGTGAAGACGGGGCGGCCAAGGACGAGGAGGCAGGGCGGGAAGGCGGAACCCACGCTGTCTGTCCCCTGCAGGTCCCAGAGGCAGACCCGCACTGCCACGGCCTGGGCCACACACCCCTCGGACCCCACGGGGTGAGGTCCTCGCGCTGCCTCTCCCTGATCCTGTGCAGGGAGGCCCAGCTTCCGCAGGAGTTTGTGGTGTAGACACCCAGAAGCGTGGCTCTGCATGTGGGGCTCATCCACACAGCATAGCTCGTCCACCTGGGACTCCATCGACACAGCATGGCCCATCCATATGGGGCTCTGTCTACACAGCACAGCTGCACCCACTCAGCATGGCTGGTCCACGTGGGGCTCTGTCTACACAGCATGGCTGCATCCACACGGCTGGGCTCGGTCCACCGTCTCTGGCCTTTCATGCTCCGGAGGCTCCGCCAGGGTCCGTGGCCCACCCTCCACCCGGGAGTTCAGCGGTGTGGAGCAGCCTGGGGCCTGGAGGCAGGAGGAGCACCCACTTCTCACGCCACCACCATGGGTCCAGGCTCCTCTGGCTCGGTGTCAGGAGGCAGAAGTCCAGGCCTGGCCATCCCGTCTGCAGGCGCGTCGGGGCGTCCTCACCCGTCCACTCTGGAAGGAAGATGTTAGCTATTCCCGCATGTCAGGGAGACCCTTCCGGTTCCCTCTGCAGAGACCCCCGGTGGATGGCCAGACCAGGTGCATGGGCTTCTGGGAACCTTTGACCCAAGGCTGTGGTCACTTGTCACGGCACTGGCCCCCGCTTCCTCTAGACCACTGCGATCCCGCAGCTCATGGTCCCAGAGGTCTCTGTGACGTGTGGGCCCAGCTGTCACCCCAGAGCAGACCTGGCTGGCGGGTGACCCCTGCCCGCCGCCCACATGGTGCGGACACCACAGGGGGCTCCAAGCCTGGGGCTGCAGCGTCCCACGGACACCGGGTCCCTGTGGGGCTCACAGAGCCAGAGAGACGGCTGCCCCCCCAGACCCCCAAGACCAAGCTGCGTGTCCTGCCCCTTTCCATCAGAGGTCACGCGGGATCGATGACCTGCTGTCCGCAGGGGTGGCCGGGGCTCCCGCAGCGCAGGTCACCTGTCAGGGGTTGGAAGACTGCGGTGAGATGGGGCAGAGCAGGGACTAGACACAGCCCGCCCCTGGCTGGGCCCAAGCTCCACGTCGGGCCTCGCACCGCCGTGACGGCTGGGCGGAGGGTCACAGGTCATGCCATGGTGATCCCTGGAGAAGTGTGCTTTCAAGGGACAGTGACCTGCACTCGGGCTGTGCCATCGGTGCAGTGAGAAGCCGGCTAGCAGGCAGCGCGTGACAGCAGGGGTGCGGCCCGGCCCGGCCTCTTTGGCCAGCTAGGGGCCGGACCATGTGGCTCAGGAGCACCGTGCCGGCGTCCACGGGCTGGGGGATGAACTGGACCCAGTGGGTGCGCTCTCCTTTCAAAGGCGGGGAGGCCTCCTGGGGCCGAGGCAAGCTCCCCTCCCCACGTCTGAGCCCGGCCGCTGGGTGGCCTTCCTGCGGCCAGCCGCCACCTGGTTGCTGGTGGAGGGCGTGCCTGTCAGCAGGCTGGCGGCCCGTGTCCCCAGTTGGAAGGCGGGGCTGGCGCTGCATCTCTGCCGCCTGCGGACTCCAGGTGGGCCCCTGTGTCCTGGCCCACAGGCCACACCGGCACGGCCAGCACAGGCTTATTTTGGAGACAGAGGGCAGAACCCGTGTTGTGTGTGTGGGGGGAGCATACGTATATGCACATGTGTGCCTCTGCGCGTGTACGTGTGCACATGTATGCATGCATGTGTGGGTCCATGTGCACACGTGTGGATCCGTGTGCGTGCGCAGGTGTGGGGCCACGTGTACCTGTATGTGTCGGTGTGGGTCCATATGCATGTGCGTGTGTGCGTGCACATGTGGGTCCATGTGTGTGTACACGCACACATGCACACAGCAAGTTTGATGCTGCCTGGGCTGAGCTTCCCGATCCTTTCTGTGAAAGGAGACCTGTGTGTGCGAACCAGCACGTGTAATAAAGCACCTAAACACAGTGTCCCATTTGCACTTGGCCCGGCAGGCGCCTGTGAGCCAGGAGTCTGGGCGGTGTGGCCGCACTGGTGGTCAGCCCACCTGGGGAGTGTTCGCGGCCACCGAGGGCTTGTCCTGTGCACACGTGCTGTGTCCTCACACTGCCTGGACCGGGGGTGGAGGGGAATCCACGCCCCGTGGGGCTCACAGTTACCAGATCTGCTCCTCGAGAAGCAAGGCTGCTTCTGCCACCTTCACGTGTGGCCACAGGTTGCCATGGGGGATGGGCCAAGAGGGATGGCCACCCAGTGTCCCTCACCAAGCATACATCATCCAGGCAGTGAGGGGCCAGCCCTGGGCAGGTGCAGGTGGGGGTAGCACACGCACATTCAGAGCACCGTGCCGGCCAGTGTCGGGGAGACGCGTGTCTTGGGCTGCCCGTCTGGCCCCTGTGCAGGAAGTACCCAGGCCCGGGGCCACTGAGGGCGGAAGGGTGAGGAAGCCCAGCGGGGCCCAGCGGGGCCCAGCGGGGGGAAGGGCGCCTGGGCCGCCTGGGGCTGCTTCTCTCCTGTGATCCCCCAAACCTATCAGACCAGTCCCTGTACTAACAAACAGGGTTGGATCTGCCCCCATCTAAGATCTACGGGGATCGTTTTCCTTTGAAGTAAGGAAACTTCTGGGGACCGGGGCTCAGCCGGCAGACCCATCTGCCGTTGCACAAAAGTGTCAGGCCAGGTGAGCGTCAGGGTGGGGCAGAGGTGCCCTGGTGGCGCCAAGATCTACGCGCATGCACGGCAGGAGGAGGGCGGGTGGACCCGGAGAGGTGGATGGCCCTGGGGTGGCGCCGCTCTGTCCCCGGCCGCCGCAAGAGGGAGCTGGAAGCACGCTGTGGTGCCTGGGTGCCGAGGAGGGGCCTGGCCGTGCCTGGGACGCGACAGTGGCTGGCACGTGTGGGACACAGGCCTGGGTGCTGGGCGCAGGCGGGCAGGGCCTCACGTCCGGGCCTGTCTCCCATCACCCTGACCTGAGGACGGCCAGCGTCCAGCCCCGGGTCCTTGGCAGATGGGGCAGTGGGGACCGCTGGCTGACCCTGAGAACCGCTGGCCCTGCAAGGGCTTCTATTTCTGTCCTTCCTCAGGCCCTGAGGGCAGGCGAGGGAAATTATGCCGTGTCTGTTAACCACCGGGTGAGGTCTGGCCGCTGGGGTGAGCAGGGAGCACAGTTAGAGGCCAAGAGGGGCCCTTGGCAGTGGCCTCCAGCCCCCACACCACCGCCCCCCGAAGAAGTGAAAACCATACACACAGCCGAGGCCAGAGTGGCCGGACGGGACCGTCAGGGACACCGGCCTCTCCCTCTGGGCAGGTCAGGACTCTGTCTTTCAGGCAAAGCAGACATTTTCCGGGAAATGGGGCCGAGCCAGTAGGGATGGCTGGTTTGTGACAAAAGGCAGGTCAGGGCCGGCCTGGGGGTGCTAAGTGGGCCGATTCAGCCACATGCCGAGACCAGGGGTGTCCGTTCAGTGACGAGGGTGTGCTGGGCAAGGCCCGCACACGTCTTCCTGCCCCGCTGTCAGTGGGGCTGGACAGGAAGCCCACCCAGCCTCCCCTGGATCCGAGGAGCGGGCACACGGCTCAGGGTAGTGGAGACCCGGGTCAAGTTGGCAGGTCTAGGGTCACAACCCCCCGAAGGCTGGTTTGAGGCAGATCCCTGGGCCAACCGCCCTGTCTTGCCGTGAGCCCCTGCCCGGGGGTGCCATTGTGGGCGGGGGGGGGGGATCTGGTGCTGGAGCCGCCCTGGCCGCTGCCTCGTGGGCAAGCGGGACGTGGCAAAGGCACCTGGTAGTGGTTTTGCTCGGCCTGGCTGTGCCCAGTGCGAGGGTTCGTCATCCTGGGGGACCCACGGTGCATCGACATCAGGAACCCAGGGGACATGCTGGGTTCTGTGAACTCTGTGCCCCGTGGCCCCGGGTCACCTGGCGCAGGCTCCCTGGGAGACAGACCCCAGACACAGGACGGCCTTTCCGCAGAAAAGCCGACTGGCGCCACGGCCAGAGGCCCAGAACTGCTGTGTGGGCTCTGAGGCCCGGCAGAGGGCAGCGGGGAAGGGCAGGTGACCCAGGATGAGGGCGTCTGCCCCGGGGGCCCGGGCTAAGCGACACCCCGCACAGCGGCCTGGCCGCGCCGTGGAAACGGGCCTTGCTTCTTCCATGCAGGAGCAGGGGGCCAGGACGCCCGTCAGTGGTCAGGTTCGGGCCCCATCAGCACATAGCTATGTGGTTTCCTAAAATTTGCAAAATGAAGATGTTTTTCACCACAAGCGGTAAAGATCCGCGGATGCCGGACAAGGGCTGGTTCCCTGCCCCACGGGGAAGGGCGTGGATGGAGTCCCAGCCTGCGGCACCCGCGTGGGGTCCGGCCAAGGGGAGCAGACTTGCGGGCGGGTAGGGCTGTCTGTGGGGTCCGCGGGGGACTGTCCCGGGTGGGGCCACACGGGCCTATGGGGGGCAGGGCCAGCCGGGTCGCTCGCGGGGACAGCGGCCCTGACAGCCCCTCAGCTGCCTGCTGCGACCTTCCAGCTTCCGGGTGAGAAACGGCTCCTGCAGCAGCACCGGCATCCGGAGACAGGTGGTGGCCTCGCCCCGAAGGCGGACAGAAGACGGGGGGGGGGCAGGGGGGTGCTGGGGGGTCTCAGATCCCCCGAGCTCTTCGCCAGCGTCTGTACCGTTCTGACTGGACGATCTGAACTCGTATCCGAGTGTGCACCGCACACCCGCGTCACCGTCGGGGAGCTCACACCGGTTCCCGCCGGGCACCCCGCCCCCTTCACGCTGTCTGCCTTGTGGCCCCCTGCCCCACCCCCACCTGTGGCACCGTGTGAGCGTCCTGCTCGCAGCCCGTCCTCGCCCACCCCCACGCCACTCTGTGCCGAGTCCCTCCCCCCCAGACAGCTGCGCCCCACGTGGCTCCGTCCGTGGCTTCACTGCAGCCGTTTGTGCTACAGAAGCACCAGCTGTGACCTTCAAAAGCTGTGTCTGCGTCGGGCGGCGGATAACGCAGACCCGCATGTGGCTTTGGTGGGTCCCACGCCTGCGGGCCTGTCTCAGAACGGTTTCCAACCAGACAAGTCACCTCGGCCACGCCGACACGGTGACATGCACACTTGTGCGTCGGCGCGCTGCCCCCGGCCGGTCGGGGAGGGTGTTCCTGCTGCGTCCACGTGCCCAGCGCCCCCAGATTCCGCCCCGACCCCCACGCCCGGAGCCGTGGCCCACCATGTGTCACGTGCCACGGCCTGCTCAGGGACGTTGGCTTGGGGACAGGCCATTACGAGGAGGTGCAGCCACGCAGGCGTCTGCTCCCTGTGGGTGCCGTTTGGCCAGCACCCTGCAGACGAGGGAAGGGGCTCAGGGGCTCAGGAATCTGTCCCGCCACACGGCTGCCACCAGAGCCCCAGGCCGTGGTTCCGGAACCTGCGCTCCAACCCCGGCTGTGCCCGGTTGGCGCACCCTGCCCCCCGCCCCGCACACAGCGCTTCTCGCGCCCCTCCCCGAAAGCGCCCCCAAGCCCCCCAGTCCTGACGCTGCTTTTCCTCGGGCGTCTCTGCCGCCGTTTCCTGGAAAACAACAGGCTTGGGGAGTCTGAAATAAATGAGCTTATTTTAGGGCACGTTTGTTGTCCAGTCATAACAGGAAACTCATTTTGAGGGGGGAAAGCCCATCACCACTTGCGACCCGGCTTCCGCGTCTCCTTCACCTGGGTTTTCGGGGGGCGGGACGGCCCCCTCGGGCTTGGCTGCGCTGGACTTGCCTCGCCCGGGCCCAAAGCCCAGGCAGCGCAGCGTCTCCGCCACGTGCTTCCGGCAGGGGGACACACACAGGATCACCAGCAGCTTCGCGTCACCACCTGTACGAGAGGGGGCAGCACGTGGGAGGCATCGCGACCCTGGCACCTCTAGACCACTGTGGGGCCGCGTGGAGGGGTCCCCACCGGCAGGGACGGGCCTGGCCCCAGCGGCCGTGGGGCTGAGTCACTCCCGCTGGAAGTGCGGGTGGCGGGTCCCACGCAGGGCGGGGCGCCCTCCCCGAGCCCCCAGCACCCAGGGCTTCCCAGTCCGCGGAAGCCGGCTGCTGCCTGAGCTTCGGACGACGGGGAGGCTGAGCGGCACTGAGGGAACAGCAAAGCCCCGGGGGAACGGGGAGCTGAGGGAAGAGGAGAAGGGAAACGGCGCAGACGCTGGAAGGGACCCGCGCGGTCGCCCCCCCCCGGCCAGCGGGGCTCACGAGTGCTCTGAGGGTGTCAGGGGCCCCTTAGAGGTTCTGAGGTCCTTCCTCATCCTTGGGGAGAGTGCATCGCAGTGAGAGAGAGGGAGATGCCAGGATGACAGAAAGCCCTAGAACATTCTGCCCTCAGCTTCCCCTGGCATGAGCGGCAGCCTGGAGGAGAGCAAACCGTCCGCCTCCCCCTGTGTAACTCAGCCTGGGTTTCCGGCCTCTGCAGCCAGTGTGTGGCCTGAGCAGGGGACACGGGCCTAGGGGGTGACCTTCTAGGAGGGGACCTCCCCGGAGGGCTCGCCAGACACGTGCGGACAAGCCCACCCAGTGCACAGCGACACGGGACGGCAGCGGGGTGTGGCTGTCAGTCGCGGCGCTGGAGATGCCGTGGGAGGGACGACAGGGAGCCGGCCGGTCCCCCAGGGAGGCGCGTCCGGGAGGAGCGGTGAGCGGGGGCAGGGGGCAGGGCACCACTTACCGAGAGCGTCCTGGAGGAAGTGGGTGAGCTTGCTGTTCCGGTAGGGGATGTGGCCTCTGCGCTCCGCCAGGGCCGCCAGGCTCCGGTTGATGTACGAAGTCTCCCTCAGGGCCGGTCCTGTCACTGCAGACGCACCTGGGGAAGCGGAGACCCCGGCACTCAGTTCGGACGGGCGACGCCAGGAAATGAGCCAGGCAAGGCATAACGGGGACCTCTCAGGACGCGTGCGCCGCGTGGGGGGCCGCGTGGCTGGTGGCTTGTCGCGTGGCCAGTGGTGAGACCGTGCCCTCTGGGGGAACGGGTGACAGACGACTGCAGAAGGAGCCGCGCTCGGGGCCCCGGGCGGCTGCCTCACGGGCCCCCACGTCCCCGCTCCCCCAGAGAGGCGGCCGCTCCGTGCTCACCCACACACTCGCTGCCCGCCAGGTCCACGCGCTGCAGCTTGGCGTGCGCCTGCTCCGCGGGTCGCTGGGCCCCCGGGGCCCCCGGCGAGGCTCTGCCCCCGGAGGGGCTCCGCCCGCTCCCGTCCGGCGGTGGCCTGTGGGGCCGCGGCTCGGCTCCCCCGGGGTGCCCGCGAAGCCCCCTCAGCGGCGCTGCAGACGGGCAGGGTCGGGGCAGGGAGGGGCTTCAGCAGGGAGGCCACCGCCGTGGAGGGTGAGGCTCGAGCCCGCTTCATCCCAAGAACAGAGTGACGTTCTTGGAAATGTGCAGTAATGACAGTAATTAAAGCCCAGAGAAACCTGAGAGCCCTTCTGGAAGCGGGTGCCTGCTTTGTCTCCGAATCCTCCACAGAAACCCCGATAGACCCGATCTTCCCTCCGTGTGTGCGTGCGTGTGCGTGTGTGTGTGTGAGCCCCATCGTGTGTATTCCCAACCAGACTTACTCAAGAGTTTTAAAAAACCTAAATAGTGTGTACTCACTGCAGAAAACAATACGGGACAAACAATAATGGGACAAAAAAGAACATAAAGCTACTGCGCTCTCCACTGCGTTTCCATGTGTGGAGAGTGACCCTGGGCTCCTGGACAGACGTCCCCTCCCTGGGGACGAGCCCCTCCTGGGACCGGCCAGGCCCCGTTCGGGGTGTGGGGCGGTCAGGGGGCAGGAGTGGCCTGTAAAAGCCGAGTGAGTGTCGACCTGCTGCACCCGGGCATCGAGCCCCGGCCGTGTGAACGTGGGCCCTGACAGCCGGCCTCCGCGGGTGGGCGCTGGCTCCACGAGCCGGCGGAAATTGGGGTCCTCGGGCTCCGCGCGTCCCCTCCTCGGGGCCTGTGGCCGGGGGGTGCCCGGTGCCGGGAGAGTCATGCAGGCGGCCGGGTGCGCGGCCGGGTCTTCACCAGGACACAGGCCCCGGCAACACAGTTTGTGACTTTCTAACCCAGTCACATCTGCAATCACTGGTGACGCGGGCACCACGTGCAAACATGCCCGTTCCCCCCACGCCGCGTCCCGGTTAACGAAGCCCCCCCGCCTGGTTCCAGGTCCCGCAGACGCGTTTGCAGTCCCCACCCTGGGCCCCCGTGCGAAGCCTCGCAGCCCGCAGGTGCCCGGGCTCTTTTCCTTTTATGTGGATTCCGTCCCGTGCCCCTGACCAGGCACGCGAGGCCACTTACCGGGGCTGCCACGGCCAGTGGCTGCGGTCAGAGTGGCCGTGATTATCGGGTGGGATCGTGAAGAGGTGGCGTGCACTGAGGCGGCCAGCTTCGCCCTGAGCTACAGGCTCCCGGCGGCAAGCGCCATGAATTCCGCGGCGCTGTGGATGGGCCTGGCAGACAGAGCCCGTGGGCGGTGGGGAGCTCACCCCGGGCAGCGGCGAGGGACGCCCTCCGCCCTCGGACAACAGGGGCCTCTTGTAAACCCACGTGCCCACTGTAAGAGTAGCCTGAGGCACAGCTTAGACAAAATAAAACGTAATAAATCAAACGCTTTCCTTTTCTGAGGCCCGACTTAGGGTGAATTTCTTTTGTCTGAAACATTCAACTGTTTTGGGTGGTTTCCCAACCCTTTGAGCATCAAGCATCCCTTTACTTATTATGCCCCACGGACTCCGGTCAAAGTCTGCTTCCCTGTTGTGGTTAGCGAGCGAAACAGCTAAGCAGAGGTCCCCATCAGCGGGGGCTATTTTGTTCGGAGCCTATTAGTCAAAAGCTGAAAGTTGTGCTCACCTTGTGCACGTTTGTGGCTAAATGCATCACTTCCCGTAGGTTTGTTCCGACGCTGGAACCTGCCGCGGACCCTTCGCTTACTGACACTGAGATCCCAGGCTCACCGCCCACGGCTGTCACCGAGGGGACCCAGCCTTCCCCCGTGCCCCAGACGTGGGCTCAGGGGACGCACAACTTTGAGGAGCATATTCAATCAACATGAGGAGTCGCCCTTTTCTGCAAGGTGATTAATTGCTGTGTTCTGGGAAACACTGGTCTGTGCAAGGGGAAGTGAGGGAGTCTGTCTGTACTTGACCGAGGGGCCGTGGGCAAGACCGCTTCTCCAAGCATGTTCCCTCCTCGGGACCAGAACCTGACCCGTCAGTTTTTCATGAGGATATTTTGAACAGTTAACGGATTGACTTGTTTTAAATGTGATTTTAAAAAGAGAATTTCTAAAGCGAATTGAAAAACGCAGAATGCACCCTAAGCACAAAACCTCGGCGGGGCCATCTCCGTGGTGACCTGCCCGTCTGGGAGGCGCAGCCGGCTTTCCCTGGGGGCCCGGCGGGTGCGGGAGCACGCGGAGTACTCACGCTCGGGTCAGCAGATGGACCTCCTGCTTCGTCCCCTCGGCGGTCGGCGCCTCACACTTGGGCCCAGACGCTGCCGTGCGACCGTCTTTGGCCAGAAGGTCAAAAACGTCGTTATTGTAAACTTCCACAATGGACACGTCGACCTTCAGGCTCCTTGACGGGTTTTCTGAGATAAGCCTGGGGAGGGGGACACAGGGAGCCAAGTAGCCCCTTGAAGAAAGCTGCAGAAGAACGACTTTCCGAGGGAGGTGAGGACAGCCCTGGACAACACTCGGCAAAACTCGCAGCCTGGAGCGCAGGGCAGCGTCTCACGAGCAGCAGAAGCGCGGGAAGACCAGAATGTTCTATTCACACGGTAGGCACGCTAATGGTCTCAGGAACAGTGATTGCACGTGAGTGACATCCAAGTCAGCGATTCCGGCCGTCAGTGCCCTCAGGACCCCAAGCCCAACGAGCCCGTGGCCTCGACTCAGAAAGCCCCCGCCTGTCTTGTCCCCACACGGAAGCCCAGGGCGACTTCTAGCACTTTTCCGGAGCCGGGGCTCGCTCTTCCGCAGTCCGCCCCGCTCCAGGAAGACTGGGTGCAGACTCCTCTGCCCGGGCCCACCCGCGGCCAGACGTCCAGCCAAGCCCCGCGCTGAGAAACCACTGCCCGTCTTCTTTTGTTTCATCTTCTCAAGTGCTACGTGCTGACTGTGGACAGGCTGGTAAGTACAGGTGCCGTGCGCTTGGGGACAGACCCACACCCAGGGGGAGGGGGCCCCAGGCTGGCTCGACGCCAGTGGAGGCCCGTCCCATTCTGACCAGGGCGTTCTTGTCCCCACGGAAGTCCTGACCCCTGAGCTGGAGCCCGTGTGCGCAGGGGTGGCGCTGCGGGACACGCAGCCTGGGTGTCTTACTCAAGCGTTGCCGGCTCGGGGGCGGGGGGTGGGGCTCCTTAGGAGCTACGAGCGAGCCAAGAATAAAATGAGCAAGTACTGTCTCCTGATGACATGGTCACGAAAATGAAAACAAGGAAAATGAGAGAAAAATAAGTAAAATCCTCCCGTGAGAAGAATTCTTGGCTCGGGGTTTGGGTTGGGCTTACTCTGGGTGCTGGGGTTCCCAGGGGAGCTCAGAGCGGAGGGGCCGTCACACCACAGACGCCACTGACGGGGGGGGCGTGCACCCTTCCTCACTCCAGAAAACTACAAACGCGACCTCAGGGGTGGCTCTGACCCCCGTGTGACAGGTGTGTCTCTGGCTGTCACAGAACCCAGATTAGAAGTTTCTTGTCTACACAGCACCAGGGAGAGCCGATGTGGGATTTTCTGCCATGAAACTAGGTGCCTGAATGATTCATTTGTCCCTCAGTTCCTTGGGTTTGGGGACAGCCGTGAAGGGTGGTTCAGTCTTCACCTCGAAGAAGCCAGTGTGCGGCCCGCAAATACACGTGTAAAGTCACAGCGCCACGCGACACATCTTACACACAAGTGCACGATGCCCCGTGAGGTTACAAAGGGGGACACTGAGGCAGATAGGCCTTCCCCCCGCCCCCCCATGCACATGCTGGGTCATCACCGCGTCTGCCTTTGCTCCGGGCTTTGTAAGGACGGAAAGTCACCAGGCGCATCTGCGTAGCCCTCCTGCCCTCGGCCCAGCGGCCAGACACCCTCTGGACGCCCGCTGATCAACTGAGATCATCCAGGAAGGACGCGGTGCGAGCCCCAGGCTCAGGAGGCCTGAGAGGATGCCCAGGGGGTGGTCGCTGTGTTTAAAATGGCAGGGCCGCCCTTGGTGACCTCAGCCATCTGAGACAAGATCCTTCAGGGTGAAACGTCCACAGAAAGGTTCTCCGAGATCAGCGCCCGAGGTCTGAAGGCTCCAGTGGGGGTCACGGAGCCTGGAGCGGCAGCTGCCCCGGGCCCTGCTCCGCGGAAGACGCTGTGGGTCCTCTCCCCGACTCCCAGGTCTCTGCCGTGGCCCTCCTTCCACGTGACGGCGGGAGAGCCACAGGCCGCTGCTCAGCTCACAGCCTGAGTGGCTGCTGCCCGGGGAGGCATCCCTGGGGGTGAAGCTGACGGCCCTTGTGCCAGCCCCGGTCTGGCTCTGCTGAGGACGCCCGTGATGCCTGCAGGGGTTCTGGCCCCGTGAAATAGTGTCCCCAGAGGGAGGTCACAGTCACCTGCGGTGGGCAGGCTGAGCTACTGTCCACGAGTCCCCCACCCACCCTGGGGACCTCCCACGCGGCGGCGGGCAGCTGATGTGCTTCTCCCGGGGGGCGGTCCCCAGGGCTGGCCACCAGCCCTTCCTCCCCCATCTCTGACAACACACACCCTCGGGAGGGGCCTTGTGGCCACTGAGCTTTCTAGAATGCTTGTTACACAGCACAACCTCACCTGTGCTGACAGGTAAGTAGTAGGAGAAAATGTAATAAATGAACGAGTCTATGTGCACAAATATTTAAATAATATCGGTGTGAAGAGGCACCAAAATATTAGGCCTTGTGGGGGTTCTTATGTCTTTGGCTCTGATTTGGAGACACAAGAGGGTTAGGCAAGGAGACACAGGGATCAGCAGCACGAAACAGCCCGGCTCCCCTGGAAACACCGCCCTTCCCCAGAAACCCCCTCTCCCCAGAAGCACTCCCCCCAGAAGCCCCCTCCCCTGGAAACCTGCTGCTGGAAGGCACCTTCTTCTCTGAGGAGCCAGCACCTTCATGTAAGGCAATTTTTTTTATGTTGTTTGTTTGAGAGAGAGAGAGAATGGGGAGGGAGGGGCAGAGAGAGAGGGACACACAGAATCTGAAGCAGCTCCAGGCTCTGAGCTGTCAGCACAGAGCCCGATGTGGGGCTTGAACTCATGAACCCTGAGGTCATGACCTGAGCCAAAGTCGGACGCTTAACCGACTGAGCCACCCAGACGGGCCAAGAAGGTGTATCTTGCATGTCGGCTCCCCGAAGGCAGGAAGGGCCGATGTCTGGGCCAAGGGGGTGGGGTGTAGGGACCACAGCTTGGTTCCAGAAGCCCCTGGTACCTTGGGCTGCGGAGGACAGCCTGTTACTGTCTGCTCCCAGGAGTAATTGTGTTGGTGAAACCACAATCTGCAGTGGGTCCCTTGTGAGGATGTGGTGGTCACGGGCCAGGAGCAACCTCAGCGTGCCCAGCTCGCTGTCGCCAAGGAAGAAACCCAGCTGTGTCTACTCTTTCCAGGGCCAGGAGGCGAGGAAAGGACACGGGGCTCCCCTCGGCCCCCTCCCCGTTCTAGAGCGAAAGACTCCGGGGAGACTGTCTAGCCCGGCATCGCCTTCTGGCCGTTTGGTCTTAACGACAGGATTTCAACATAAATGCCCCGAAGAATTTCTAGTGTTTGTGGTGCGAGGCGTGGAGTACTTGAGCCCTCCGTGGTTTGTCGTGGGTGCCGGGAAGAGCGCCGGGGGTGATCTCTGACCCCCGCCCCCCCGTGGCTCTGCCCCCCGCCCCCTGCGGCTCTGCCCCCCCACCGCTCACTGCCCCCCGCTCCCCCCTCCGCGGCTCTGCCCCCCGCTCACTGCCCCCCCGCTCCCCCCTCCGCGGCTCTGCCCCCCGCTCACTGCCCCCCCGCTCCCCCCTCCGCAGCTCTGCCCACCCCGCTGCCCCCCAGGCACCTGAAGAGCTCCCCGGCGGCCCTGGGCAGGACCGCCCGGGGCTGCGGCCCCAGCATGGTGTAGGTCTGGCCGCAGCCCGTCTGTCCTAAGCCATGATGCAGACATTATACCTGAAACCCAGCACGGGTCTGAGGGCCGCAGACGTGCAGGGCCCCCCCCGCCACAGCTGGATTCTAAGGGAAACGCTCGCGTGGAGGGACGATCCCCCCGACCTGCTCTTACTCCTGTTCCTCCGTCGCGTAGACCCAGGCAGTGGGCGTCCGCGCTCTGCACACGATCCCCGCAGCGGCGGCCACCCCGCGGCCACCGGCTCGCATCCCCAGCCTCATGTCCCTGCTGCCTCCACATGTCCTCCGGTGCTGCGGCTGGCGCCCCGCGCTCGGGGTCCACGCGGGGACCCGGGCTCCGCGCACGTGGCCCGGGCGTCGCTGACAGTGGTCACACGAACCGCCCGCTGCGCATCCTTCTACGTGAGCCCAGGGGCCTGGGTGCCTCCCCGGCGGGCAGCCCCCCGCGCCCCACAGACGGGGCCACGTCACAGGGGACAAGGACAGTGACCGGCCCCCCGATTTCCTTCCAGCTGTTTCTTCAGCCCAAAATGTCAGCGGGAAGATGGGAACACGGAAACAGTATTTGAAATAAGTATAAATTTACAGGACATGATATACATCCGTGAAATAAATGTATAAGTGATATAAACTTACGTGCTGGGCTGTGCAGGCGCAGCTGAGCCAGACCTACGGGCGGAATGCTAGGCCCTGACCCCCGCCGCGACCTGGGGTGGGGGCGAGACCGGGCCGCACGGGCGCCTCGGGGACCCCGATTTCCTCGGCCAGCCTTAAATCGGATGGACGGCCTGAGCTACTCCCCGCAGCCAAACTCACCGGGGCTACTGCTTCCAGGAAAGGACCGTGAAGAACGTTCTGACCACCCGGGGCATCACAGCGACCCAGGGGCCGCCGTCCTGTGGTTCTGTAGCAGCCTCCGCGTCCCCTCCCAGAGCCCTGTGTCTCTGCACCTGCGCCAGGAGACGCGGGACACTTCTCGGTGGGAAGCGCTTGGGCCTCAGCAGGCGAGCTCTCAGGGGCCTTCCAGACCCCTTAGGGCCACAGACAGGAAGGAAGCCTCTTGAAGAAAGGCTCTCAGGACCTAAAGTAATGCCATCTGTTTCACATTTAACACGGAAGGGCAGCTCTGGCACCGATCACGCAACCACCGCGCCTTTTTCATTTCTGGAAGCTGCTTCCTTAAAGAGGCCGACTGAGAACACAAAGGAGCTCTCCTATTCGCGTGGTTTTCGGGGGCCAGCTCTTTTCTGGAAGGACATAAAAGCCCCAACGTTCCGGGGGTAGCGCTGAGCAGAAACGGTCCCAGGGAGGGTGGGCGCTGCGGGGGGGTGCCGCCGGGGCCACGTGGCTTCCCGGGAGGGCCTGACCCCTGTGGGCACCCTCGACGTGTTCAGATGCTAGAGCGCGGCGGCGGAAAGAGCCCGGTCATCGCGGCCTCCGTGTGGCTGGCGGTGGCGGTGCAGGAGCCCCTGCTGTGCAAACAGACACGCCTTCTTCTTCGGGTCGCCGCCCGCGTCTCCGCCCCAAACTGGGGCTCTTCCGGCACCCAGGGGTAGCAAGTCTTGGCGAACCGGGTCAGCTACACAACTGGCTCTGTTTGTGCTAAAGACACGATCTTTACTGCTAGGCTGTGACCCACGGCCTCGGGAAGCAGCGGTCGTGCGTCCGGGACCCCAGGCTCCTTCTCAAAGGGACGATGAGTTCCTCCATCTGGTGTGAACATGCTTCTCGGACTTCCTGCAAATTCCAAAGTGCGCGGAGAATGCCGGGGAGACCCAGGGCAGGCGCTCACCGCCGTCGGCTGCACACACATGCGTCGGACCGTCTTTAGGACCCGAGGCCTGTGTCTCACGACGCCATTCCTCGAGTCCTGCTTGGCCCTTCTCCTGGCGCACACCCACCCCCCTGCCCCCATGGACACTAATCAACCACGGGGCTACGGGTGGCTCTGCCGTTGTGGAAAATGCGCGGACTCTGACGTCATAGCTCATCCTGTAGCGCGAAGGGGACCCACCCGTGCTGTGATCGCTGACCTCAGAGGTACTTTAACTCACCCGTCCAAGAGCGACGTGAGCAGGGGACACACATCCTCAAACACCACTTGCTGGGATTCTGCTGGACCGTAAACTCTGAGAGGCAACGTGGAAGTGACGCACCATGGGAAGAAAAAGAGGTTCACGTTAGTGAGCAAACAGGAACGCTGCCAGCCTATCTCGCCCGCTTCCCAGCTGTAAGCCCCCCACGCTGTCGAGATTCCTTTTTTCTTAAACAATAAAGGTTAATTCCATTGCCTGTCAAGCTATCAGAGGTTAAGGAAGACTAGAGAATTGTCCCCTCTGCTATAAAAACACAATAAGCAAAATTATGAATGCTTGCAAAGCAGAAAGAAACAGCAAGCAGGCAAAAAAGAGAGAGAGAGAAAGGCAAGGATGCCATGTAATTATCCAGGAACTAAATTAGCTCCACTTAAGTGGGTCCAACAATAATACCACAAAAATCATACTTCATACTCCAGGCAACACTTGATACACAATATTTAATTTTCATGTTCAAGCTCTTAGAACCGTTTTCCTACGCCCCAGGTTAGCCGGGCGCCAGGGCCGGGCGTCTGCTATGGAAAGGGAATCCGGGGTGGCTCTGTGTTTAGAAGGACCCACAAGTACAGCCAAGCAGGACGTGACTTCCAAAAAATGCACTTCGCTGTGCAATTTGAGACAAGACAGGAAGGCCTGGTCTTTGAGCGCGGGCTTCGTGCGGGGCCGCCGAGTGCAGGAGACCCTCGAGGGGGCAGGTGTTAAGCCCAGGCTCCCGAAATACAGGGTTTTATTTAGCTGGAACCAAATTATTCTCTTCTTTGATTTTCAAAATGTTTCATAATGTCTGACTGATCCACATTATCTAGAAGCAGGACTGATTTTAAACTTCAGAGGCGTCCATATAAAATGTTGCTTATTATGCATGATCAGGAAGGCATTTAGAGCAAGTGGCGTGATGCTGAGCTCCTGAATCTTTAGCTTATCCCTGCGTCCGCAGGGCCCGCCTACTTGGTGCAAACCCGCCCTCCGCCCGCGACCTGCTGCAGCCGACCCCGTGTCTGTCTGCTTTGTCTACAGATGTCTCAGCCTGTGTCTGAAAAGGACGACCCTTCCAAAATCAGCACAAGGTTACCATTACTGCATTTTGAAAAATTAACAGTAATTCCTTCGTATCCTCCCCCCAAAGTTGGCCACCTTCTCTGCCCTTTCTCCAGCTCTCTGGTAGGCTTGTTTTTCCTGTTAGTTTTTAAAAATCATGATTCAAACAAGGCATTCCCGTGGCCGCTGGCCGCAGATCTTCTAAATCTTTAATCTGTAGTAGTGGTCAGCAAACTTTTCCTAAATTGCAGCTAGTTTAGGCCTTGTGAACATCTTACTTAAACCCTCAGGTCTTTCCCACCAACATGAAGCCAAGGTCAAGGGCCCTGTGCCACCTGTACTTGGTAACACGGTATCCGGTCATTACTCAGGGACCCATGTGGACACAATGAAGCGACTGACATAAGATCCGGGCGCACTGTGCACCAGGCACCCCGGAGCCAAACACTTTGCGCAGTGGCACTTAGAGAGGCGGCCAGTGCAAACGTCAGCCAGCGCGTACACACAGACAGTTGAGTCAGAAGATACCGCGGGAGGAAGCTCCCATCGATGGCAGGAGAAATGCAAACTGAAAACCCAGCCGTGACCCTCATGAGAAAGGTCCAGGTTCTTTATGGAGAAAATTATAAACTCTCCTGAAGGACATAACTCGACTTGAGCAAATAAAAAGATCACGTCCTTGGATAGTAACTCAACCCTGCGTGGAAGTTAGTTTATAAAGTTGCCTTTCACCCCCCAACCCCCAAATACCATATATACTATCAAGTTGATCTGTGGAGCCACATAATGTGATTATACAATTGATATGGCAAAACAAGAGGTCAGAATAGAAAGGAAAAGCTGGGGGAGAGAAGGAGCGGGGGTGGGGCTGTCCCGGGCCCTGAAGCCTGCACCTGAGGCCATGGCGGTGCGCCTGAGGCCGTGGCCGTGCACTTGAGCCAGGGGGTGGGTGGGCAGGTGGGGTTCCAGGGCCCCCGAGACAAGTCTGAACTGGACCCCACGTGGCAGCTGTATGATAAAGAGGCGTCTCAGATTAGTGGGGAAAAGATGTGTTTCCCTAAGTGGCATCATTAACGGGGGTGGTACATGGACTAGTATAAAATGGGATCCATTCCTCAGACAGTGTTCTAGAATATTCCAGACAGGTTGTAAGTTTAATGTGAGAGGTCAAACCATACAAATGATAGGAGAACACGTGGGTATATTCTTCTTGAACCTGGTGGCCTTTTCACCGTAATTAAGTCACGGGGGGACAGCTTTTGCATGGGTAAGAGCCATCAGAAGCAAAGAAAAAAATACAAATAACAAACTTGGAAAAACAGTTGCAACTTAAATCACAGACAAAAGATCAATATCCCTGATATATAAAGTGCTCCGAAAAATAGAGAAGAAAAAGGCCCATGAGCTTTGTAATTTGCTGTAACATTTCCTTCTATTGCTTATCTATTCCTTACATAGCAACATTCTCCCTGTATTTGTCCTTGTATTAGAAATCCTTTCTACATCATCGTAGGAACCCATCTAGAGGCGCAAGCTCACCGGGGAAGGCACTGCAGGGGGCCCTTAGCCGCCTGACCATGGCCCCCGCCTCCCGCCCGAGAAGCCGCAGCAGGTGCGGCCCCAGGTCCAAGCAGGTCCTGGCAGGAAGCCGCGGGCATGCGGGCCGGGCGGCAGCTGACCAGCAGGGCCAACCCAGCCTTGGCGGGGCAGGAGGAAGGCAAAGCCGCCCTCGGGGTTCATTCCACACAGCCAGCACCCCCACGGTCTCCAGGGTGCGCCCGGCGGTCCTGGGGGCCTCTGACCCTCTTCTCCATTCTTCTCTGTGCCTTTGGCCATTTTGTCTCCCCACCAGAGGCCCCCCCTTCTCTGCCTGGTTAACTCCTGGTTAACGGAACCGTGTGCAGCGGCCCTCAGCTCACCTCCAGCCCCGCCCACCTGTAACATGAGCTCAGGGAAGGCTCGAACTCGGGACCACAGGGAAACCAACAGGAGCACGTTGCGGGTGCATCACAGCATGAATGTAAGCGTAGGACACACCCAGGGGTCCTGTGGGCACCGGGCACAGCCGTCTTGCCCAGCACAGTAAAACTACTTCTCAGGTTTCCTATGGCATTTCGGGTCATTGGTTGTTCCTTCTTTTTTTTCTTTTTTAAAATTTATTTCTGAGAGAGAGAGACAATGTGAGCGGGGAGGGTCAGAGAGAGAGGGAGACACAGAATCTGAAGCAGCTCCAGGCTCTGAGCTGTCAGCACAGGGCCCGACGCGGGGCTCAAACCCACAAACTGTGAGATCATGACCTGAGCCGAAGTCGGACGCTTAACCGACTGAGCCACCCAGGCACCCCCAATGGCTGTTACTATTAATTTGCCATTAAAAAAATAATAATATATTTTTATCCCACTTAGAAGATAGCAATGTCTCCCGACTCTGGGCCCATTTGTACTTTTCCTGAAATTTTCCGGAAGGGATGTATTTTCCCTTTCACACACATTTATTTTTAAGAAGGGGCTAAGTACTGAAACCGCTGAGTTTCTTTCAGTGTGGAAATAAAATATTTTGACATTTATTAGTTCTGTCAAAAGCTGTTATAAATAAAGTGTTCTGATTTTGTAAGAGCCATATGCTCTGCTGGTTTTGAAGTGGGACTATCCTGAATAAGTTCTTCCCCGGAATAAATTCTTATGGAGACTTAGATGTGAATTCTCACTTCTTACTCGGATAGAAGTAATTTACTTGCACAAATTCCTTTCTTTTTTTGTTCAGCCCAAACACCAGTCAAGACCTTCCCCTTCAGTCTGACCCCAATGTACACGACGCGCTGCCCCCCGATTCCCCGAAACAAGGTCCCAGTGACGCTGCCAGACGCATCCCCGCCCCCAGCGCCGTGTGTCCGGCCGGGCTCCGTGGCAGCCGCTGCCCAGACTTGCCTCCGGAAAGGTGAGCGAGCCGCCGGCCGGTTTCTCCACCTGTGGTCCTGCCACGGCCGAGCCACGGGACCCAATCGGATGTGCTTGGGGCGCTGTGAGAAGCCACAGAAACGTGAGGGGGATGGAAGACCCACCCGTGGCAGCATGGGCTGGGGTGGCCTCGCCCTCCTCACTCTGGGGAGGGGACAACACAGGACCTGAAACTCCGGACGAAACACAGGCGGCCTTGAAGGGCCGCGGGAGGGGACACTTCAGGTGCCGGAGGAGAGGCAGCCGGGCTGCGGGCGAGAGGCTGGAGCTGATGGCTGGCCCTGGACGCGGACGCCGGGGGGCTGCGGACGGCGCCCTTCCACCTGGTCCTCTGCGTGTGGCACAGCGGACGGCGGGGTGGCTGGCGGCGGGGGCCCTGCCCTGTTCTCGCTGGCATGAGGGCCTCGGGGCACGACCCCTCCCCGAGAGCGTGTCCCCCCCTTCCCCATCACAGTCCTCAGGAGAGGCTCTGTGGTGAGAACGTGGGGGGAGTGAATGGGGCATCATGTCCCTGGGAGGGGGTGGACGG